ATAAAAAAATAAAAATTACATAAAATCTTAAAATTTAAGAATTAAAATTTTCATTTAACAAAAAAAAAAAAAAACTACTGACACAAAATGACTGATAACGACTTCCTCGAACACGGACATAGAGGTTTCTACCAAAACAAGAAAGAAAAAGAAAAAGGACATAGAGGTGGTAAAGCATATGCTAAATTGCTACATAATGTACATAGTAATTTATTAGGCACATAACCATTGTGACGTGGCATAGCTGCATTTGATAATTAACGCCACGTGTCTCAGCACGTAATGTTGACCAAACTAATCGGCCCTGCAATTGGCCTGTTCTTTCCCCGCCGCCAGAACATTCCCTTACCTGTCCGAATCGACAGTTGCCGGACCGGAATGTCGGATTCCAATAATTTTTCTCACATTTCTCTCGCACGATTCTCGCTTCCGGATCAAACGACGTCGCACAACTCTCCTCCACGACCCATTACAACACTATGAAGTTGAACCCCACCCCCCACCCCTTGTCTCCCTTGAGACGAGACCAATTTCCCCCTCGATTTTTCCGACGAAAATCCAGTTCCTCTAAGATCCAGTACAAACACGAACACCGACGAAAAGAACAAGGAAAAAGAATTGTATATATTGATATAAAGATGGATCGGAGGAGGACTGGGAGTCCGGTGTATGGGCGGCAATGGAGCGGGGGCTCGAGCAGTTCGGGCTCGTCATCGCCGGCGCACCCTCAGTCACGGTTTCTGGGAGGAGCTGTAGGTGGTGTCTCCACCATCAAGCGCACCCAAAACGTTGCCGCGAAAGCAGCTGCTCAGCGTCTAGCTCAGGTAATGGCTTCCCAGACACCCGATGACGACGAGGAAGACGACGATCTAGGGTTCCGGTTCAGTGCACCTCCTCTATCTACTGGTTTCTCGAATAATAGTAGTACTTTACGGGCGATCTCAGCCACTCGGCCTAATAGATCTCCGTCCCCTGCGGTAATCGGATTAAGTTGAAGTGAATTTGAATTGCTTTGACTAGGTCTTTGGATTATCATTTGATCTGATTGAACTTTTTTTGGTAATTTCAATTAGTTAGGTCGGAATTTTGTAGAGAATGCGGCGTCTGTGCGGTCCACCTCGGCAGGGAGGCCGGCAGCGTCTGTGCGGTCAACGACGCCAACGTTGACGCCACCAAGTAGAACATCTATTAGGACTCCGAATTCTATACCTCCGATTGAGCCTCCTAATAGGAGTAGAGATAAAAGGTTAGTTTGAAAATCTATTTGGAACAAGATGTTTTCATGCTTAATTCAAAATCATGAAGATTTATGTTCAAGTAAATGCAAAGTACACCCACACTACATATTCTTGGATCCAAGAAAAATGGAACTCATTTTATTCACTACAAGATCCTTTGTCGGAATTTAAGTTAGTTGGCTACAAACTAGAGGACATAGAATGGAATGAAGGGATTTTTTTTTTTTAAAAAAAATTTATTTTTAATGTTATAGAGGGGGGGATTTCTCTTAATGTAATATAGTGAATTGTGAGAAATCGAAAAGGCTCTTTCTTGAGAAATAGTATTTGATTTGATATGATGAATTTTAATACTGGAAAGTACTGCAGATTTACGGCACATGTAGGGCAGCTCAAAGAAAAAGACACAAGTGATCAGCGTGAAGCTTCTGCACTCCGCGATGAAGTATTTCATTTCCACTCATTTATTTGTCTTGATATCTGACACGCACCCTTTAAACTAGATTCATGGTTCCATTGATTTATTTGTTGTGTTTTGGAGCTTAGGGTATGTTTGGTCTAGAGAAAATTTATCACCTTTGGGAAACACTCATCAGGAGAACACCTAAATGGAAATTATTTCTGACTGAGTTGGATTCTATTTTTGATATGTGGTTAAAGATTGCAGGAAGGTGATTTAGCTAACATTTGATGGAATTTTTGGAAAGTACATTGCTAATATCAAATGTGCATGTATTGATTATAAAATATGAATTGAACACTATAAGTGGTTTTTTTTTTTTAGGTAATTTATTTCAAGTGAAATTATATAACTTAAACTATACCATTTTTCATGGCATTTACATTCCTAACAAGCATTACTTATAGCCGTTAATCAACTCAATTGAGTTCTTGTCAGATAGAATTTTATACTCAGCGTAAGTTAAATTACACAAAACTCACAGTGAATGTGTGCATATTCTGGTGCATTTAGTATGGTGGCATTGGTGGTATTTTGTGAAATATTGCCATGAACTTCCCAAAAGTACTGGTTTCTTTACCCATTCCCAAAAAAGCTGAAATGTAATTCTTCACAATGAGGGTAAAACATTTTTTTAGCATTTCCTTTTATTTTTGCTCATGGTACTTGAAAAGTAACTCTTTTAAGTACTTAGTTTGAAGGTAACATGTTAATTTGCAGCTTGATATGCTACAAGAAGAGAATGATGTCATACTAGACAAGGTGTGCTGTCCCAATCCAAGAAACTTGGGCTTTGATATTCTCATTTTGTGATGGATATATAATTTTCATGCTTGTGTTTGCTGCATAGCTTCGTCGTGAAGAAGAGAGACGTGAGGAAGCAGAAGCTAGAGCGAGGGAGCTTGAGAAACAGGTTGGCTTCCTGGTTTTGCTATTTGCTATTTGGATTCCATTGTTCTTGAGTTGACTAGCAAATAAGCTGTATGTAACTTTAATGAATCTCTTAAATCTGAGACTTGGTTTAGTCTTATCTTTTTGTGGCAAGAATTTCCTTTCCTAGCTCGCAGTTCAGCTTTGTTAATTATTAAACTTCCTTTTACAAGCATTTGCTTGTTTCTCTCCTCCAGTTATTTTATTGCTACTCTCTGAGAGGGAAGATGTTTTACACATTTATGTTCTTTGTGAAACCTGCCATAATGCTGTTTAGGTTTAACTGGGTTTAGTAGTTGAGATGTCAACATGCCCTAGAAGTGCCAAGCACTTACCTCCAAGTTCACTTCTATGTTTATAGGTTGCTGCTCTAGGAGAAGGAGTCTCTTTGGAAGCAAAATTATTGAGTAGGTACGTTTGGAATCTTGTTTTGCTGGCACTATTGGGTTATTTAATTTTCTGGTTGTGATTTGGTGTGGTTTATCTGCAGGAAAGAAGCTGCATTGCGTCAAAGAGAGGTAAGTTGAAAGAGTATTCTATTGAATATATTGTATGGCTGAACTCTTATGTTTTCTAAAATAATTTTATCTTCATGTTGTTTAATTTAATCTAGATATTTCCCCAGATTTTTCTGCTGGATTTTTATATCTTATCCATGTCACATTTCACCTCATCTCCACTCCTTACTTCACCCCCTTATCATTGGGTGCTGAATATATCCTCTATCTTTAACTGCCATGGCTGTTTATCACAGGCTGATCTTAAGGCTGCAAAACTAAGAAAGGATGGAAGAGACGAGGAAATTCTAGCCCTTCGTTCTGAACTTAAGGTAAAATGTGCTAATAATGCTAATCCAGAGGAGTTCACTTGGTTTTAAAACCTAATTTCTTGTCTTTTTTTGTTTTAATCAGAGATTGAAAGATGAGGCTGCAGCAGCTATGGAACAGTTCCATGAAGCAGAATCTGAGGCAAAAGCTCTTTGCACCATGACACAGCGAATGATTTTGACTCAGGAAGAGATGGTTTGTCCAATTGTATTTGAGTGAAATTTATTACAAGTGTTTAAATTCTAATTCTGTATTGCACCTACCTTCTAGGAGGAAGTTGTCCTGAAGAGGTGTTGGCTTGCTCGTTATTGGGGGTTGGCTGTTCAGTATGGTAATCAGCTTGCTATTTTTATTTTTTTTCTCTTTGAGAAAATAAGTTTCATTGTTAATTTTTTTATATGAGGTACACAGAAAATTGAAAATTTGGTTCAACTGCTAACAATATCAAACACTAAACTAATTCATATGCCCTCCCTATTAAGTGCTTCCTGTTTAGAAGTATTCAGTGAATGGAGTCCTTGGTTCTTTGATTCTTTTGATATATCAAATATACGCTATTTGATGGTTCATTACTACTTCCTTCAATATAGGATATGAAAATTATTGACATACCATTAGTATTGGATTTATAGATTAGAATTTTGCTATCACCTTGTTCCCCTATTCTTTTTGATTGTTTACTTCTCTTCCCCTTGCTCCTCTTTCTTGATCGATTTAATCAAATATGGTATTGTGTCGCTTCATACTGGTTGTCTTTTTTTTCCCTCTAGTTTCTTTCTGTGGATTCCTTTAATTTTTCACTCATAGAATATGTTCCCAACTTGTTATATTTTGAGTGAGTTCTTTTTAGAAATTTATTAGCTAGATCTAAGCCAACTTTCATTAGCAATTTCTTCTGTGTCTATCAGCCATTTGCACGGATATCGCAGCAGTAAAGCATGAATATTGGTCACACTTAGCTCCTCTTCCATTTGAAGTAGTCATTTCTGCTGGACAGAAGGCAAAGGAGGAATCTTGGGATAAAGGCCAGTTTAGATCTTGACTATATTAATCTAATTAGAGCAATCATCTTTTTTTTGTTTTTTTTAGTAATTGCAATATATCTGCATTTTGTTAAGCTATTATATCCTGGAATAATGCAGATGGGGGCAGTTCAGATGGGACAAAACTTGCAAGGGATTTGAGTAATCTGACTGGGGAAGGAAATATTGAGAGTATGCTTTCAGTTGAAATGGGTCTAAGGGAATTAGCTTCCTTGAAGGTAGACATTTTTACTTTTGCAAACATTTAATGCCTTTTTGGTTTTACATTATTCTTGTTTCTGTAATTTTGCTTTTAATGTCTGTTACAAAATCCATACAAGATTCTACACACAGCGAAATCTTATCAGTTCCCTATTTATGATTTTTTCTAACTTTTTGAAGATACTACTTTATACTGCTATTATTTTAATATCACTGAATTTTTAAGGTCGAGGATGCTGTTGTGCAAGCATTAAGCAAGTATAGAAGACCAGGATTTGTTCGTCAATTCATTTCAGGTTTTTTTATCCTCATCACTCTCAAGATATGATGTTTGTCCATGATTAATTTGGTTGGATGAATACAGTTTTTGAAGGTTTATATTCCCCCTTGGGTATATGCATATTCAGTTTTTATTACCTTATTCTTGTCTGAGAGTCCTGGCTTCTCTGGCTTTGACTCAAAACTGTTGTTTATATTCCCCCTTCATGGAAATTTGCCTCTAGAATTGGGATGGAGTGAACTTATAGAACAGTTTTTGTTTCTCAAAAAGCAGTTTCTTTTTTTTTTTTTTCTCCATTCAATTTTGATAAGTCAATTGATGTAGGACGAGTGAAAAAAGAAATAGAGACACATGGAGAAGAAGAAACAGAGAAAGAGAAACTAGAAGAAATGAGAAGAGATAGAGAATGGAGAAGTAGAGGAAGAAGTGAACATTGATGTGGGTTGAGAAAATTTCTCAAAAGTCCAAAATAGAAAAAGACATAATTAACTATGACTTAAAATTCGGGGGTTAAGGTCAGGTGTGGATCATGTGGTTATGATCAGGTGTCTTAACCACTGTAATAGCTAGGCACTAACTTCTTTGCGAATTTTTTCTAAAGTAACTATAAATTTCATATTTTAATTAGAATATGAAACTGTTAAATAATAAATATCTATGAATAAATCAATTAAATTTAATAACATGTTTATCCGAAATTCAATATAATGTTAGATGAAGACTACAAAATTGAAAGTGACTTAATTTCTTCCTACAAGGCTGCTTCCACAATTGTCCCACCTGTGTTGACTTTTTTTATATTTCTTTTTTCTTAAT